TTTTATTTTTTCATAGATAGAATAGAAAACAGTATACTTAACAAAGGTTCTCTCTAGGCATGTCTTTACGAATATAAAGCTTGAACATGTCTCTATCATTGATAAAAGAATTAGCTCGTTAGCTCGAGCCGTAGAGGTGATATTCAATTTTTTTCGATAAAGTGACCTTTTTTCTAACTCTGAAAAAGTAAAACTTTTTTTGTTGAGATCAATAGTGATACTTAACAAAAGGTCTTCCTAGATATGTCCTTATGGATATAAACTTGGTACATGCCTCTATCATTGATAAAAGAATTAGCGCGTTTGCTCGAGCCGTAATGGGGATATTCAATTTTTTCTCGGTAAAGTGACTTATGCACCACCCTGTATTTTAGAAACCGTCTCTAGAGGGATCGATGTAAAATACGTATTAGAAGCCTCAGGGCTTGTATTGTGTTCAGACAATTTCAGTCAGGTGCCATCTACGTATGATACCACGATATAGTGTAGATGTGTGAGTCTTCTTTTCGGCAATATTCACAACCAAGTTGTATTAGTAGCTCTCGTCATAATAGAAGCTCCCTTCCTAAAATTTTTGAATTAAATGGTGAGTCGAATGTTTCTAGACTAAATGTTTGACTATATTTCGTATATTTGAATGCGTAGAAAAAAGTGAAAAGTAGTGCATTAGATTGAGAATTCTATGCTCTTTCAGAATAGATGTTTAGAATTTTTCTATGAATTTTGAAAAGACTAAAAAACTTTTTTGTTTTTTAAGGAAAAGTCTCAAATAGAACTTGCTCCAGACATATGACAAAGTATTATTGAATATATTGAACGATACAGAAAATAATTGTCTACAAAGGGATAATTTTTTTACAAACTACTGAGCTGTAATAAAGACTTTTATAAAGTTTAGTTTTTCGATTTTCGTCTTTTCAACGCAAAATGATCGTTCTTCATAAATCTGTCATTTTTTAGAATAGAAATAATCTTCAAGTACTATATATTTACAGAACTTAATTAATGTCTACAAGAGACAAACTTGTCTTTAGGAAAAATAAGTTTTTTACCTCTCCAAAATTGTCTTGTAGCTCAATGGTCAAAAGTCATGAAAAAACTCTAAATTATATATTCTGAACAAGCACAAAATTCTAATTCTAATATTCTACTACTCACTATTTTGCAATACATTTAAATACACGAAAAATCGTCAAATATTTTCTGTAGAAACTTTTCACCAACTCCTTACTTGGCCATTTTAGAAATCCTGAAAATATCTATTAGAAAAAAGGATTTTATTCTATTTTTCTATTAGATAAACTAATATTTTAAATCTATGTATTATCTTTATATTTTAGCTACTTATACAGTTCTCTATTCGGAAGCTGATCCAAGTGCTTTAGCAAAATATCGTCTATGGAAATCAGTTGGTTTTGTTCTAACCTATAGTGTAAATTTTAGTTTTATACAAAATTATTATTTTCTTGTTTTATTTTTTAGTATGCGAGTTATGTAACTATTCGACTTTCACTTATTCTTCTTCTTGTTTACCTATCTATCAGCATGTTGGGTTATGGGCTAGTTGAAGTACGTCTTCGTTGGAAAGAATATCAAAAAAAGAAATGCACTGTCACACATAGTGCATAGCATCATGACTCGATTTTCTCTTTCTATTTCTTTTTTCTTTTTTTTTTCTAAAATAAATAAACAACGTCATAGAATATAAACGAGTAAATGTTATCTTTTATATTAGTAATATCTTTTTTGTCAAAAATACGAAAATATGGTCACGCGTTGTTTATTTGGTATATTTGTTTTTGGATCAAATTCAGATTTAATTTATCGGTTTTTAACTGATGATTTATCTGAATATTTACATAAATGTTTTATTGATCGAGGTTATACATTTAAGGAAAATTCAACAGAAAATCAGGAAGTAAGAATATCGTTTTTTTTTTTAAATAATTATTTTTCTTATTATAATAAAATTAAAGGTAAATGAAGAAATTAATTTTTCAATTGATGATGCTATTATGCAACATTTTTCAATATTAACTAGTTTTCATTCACAAACATTATATCGTAAGAGTTCTATTAGACGAATTACACTTAAATCAAATATGGAATTATTTTTTGATCAAGTATAGTCAATAAATAGAGTTTTATTTTATTTTTTATGTTTAATTATTGGTTTTCTTTTTTCAAATATAGATTGGAGAAAGTAATATAATATGTATGGCTGATGAATCATTTAATACAATTGTTGTACTTAAAACAATCAATTTATTTAAAGCATTAATTAGATTTCATATAGGTGTTTTACCATTTACGTAAGTATCTTAAAAGATATTTTGTTAGTACAATTTTAATACGATAATGACATAATTCGATGTTATATTTACTTTCGTCTATATCTTTTCCAATTGACATAAACAAAGAATATGATGTTTTTTTAGAAATGTATCCCAATGAAAGTATTGAGTATCTAATTAATAGTATATCAGAGATTTTTTTTTTCTTATACTTGGCTGGTTTCGAGTACTCGATTGGTACTTGAATATTTGAAATTGAGATACTTCTAGCTGATTCATCAGCTAATCTGTGAAAAAAATTTCAATGTCAAATGTTGGACACTCAACTAAGTACTTGTAACGTACTAACAAAATAATAATTTTTCGAATATCCTGTTGGAATTACCTAGGTAAATGTATATCCTGAACTGAGCACTTTCGCTAGTATAATATATTCATCGGCGATGGGGAGGGGAGCCATGAGACTTGAGTAGGTTGAGGTCTATCCTAGATTCAGATATCGTAGATTCCAACATTTATTTTTCATTTCATTAGATTTATTGGAATACATCGAAATTCTTGTACAAACGTCAACATTTTGTACCGCATTTAGCGGCAAATATTAACATTTTCGTAGTGAAGTAGACGTAAAAGATGTGTTTGAGGAAGCATTGAATTTTGTATGAATAAATGTTCGGTTCTACGTTACTAATGACTTAAATTAGAACTTACTTGTTACAAATGAAGATAAAACTCTATGGAAAACTCGAGTTAGATACACAAAAAGATAGCCGAAAGTGTTCTTTAACTTCAATGACTAAGTTTATATACGTAAGAAATATTTTCAACAAAGTGAACAAATCTACAATGTAATTCCGTTTTCTTTTATGAACTCTACTGCTTCACCATTTTTCTGTTTTCTAGCAAAGTATGTCGAAAATTATTCTTTCAACAGTCGAAATGAAATTCTAAAAACAAAATGTTACTGTGTTTATTTAAGTACACATCTTTTAAGACAAGTTGCGAATTTTTTTTCTAAACCGTACCAGTTTTGTACAGTGCGAAATGTGAGTTGGAAATAAGAAGTACTAATTGTCTTTAATCTGAATGACATAAAAATATTCACACTTCTTCAGCTTATTCTTAACTTTCCGATGGAAGTCTTATAAAGATATTTGAGCCTATCTTAAATTCAAAATATTCCGTCATCTATGTATATGCTCTACATAAAGCAGAAAAATTTCAATTGCACATTTTTGGATTTGACTAAGTTGAATTTTCAGTCATATAATTTAGATGAAAAATAGTAGTAGATATTATTTTTGTCATTGAATTGCTTATAGCTTATATGTTTATGCACTACATCTTCACTTACATCTATATATATTGTATAGAAATTATGGGTGTGAAGCGACTACTTGATTACCGATCTGAAAAGCTTTTCCTGATCACACGATAGTCAAAAATTCTTTTTTTAAATTTAAAGCGTAACAAATGACATCAGTCTTATTGTGTTTAATAAATTTTCATTTGTGATGACTAGACATGAGCGAGACCAATCATTTTTGGTCCCGGTCCGAGCCAGAAAATAATTTTTTGGTCCCGGTCCCGGCCCTAGTCCCGATAAAAAAAAAAATTTGGTCCCGGTCCCGGTTCTAGTTCCGGTCAAAGTCTCGGTTCAAAATAACCAATTGGATCTCATCGCAATGAAAAAGACTTTGATGTTGATTCCGAACAAAAAAGAATCGGCCCCAGTCACAAAAAAATGGATCTCGATCCCGACGAAAACAAAAAAAGTTGGTCCTGATCCCGGTCAAAAAAAAGTTTGTCCCGGTCCCGGCCCTGGTCCCGGTCAAAAGAGGAAAATTGGTCCCGGTCCCGATCCCGGTCCTGGTCCCGGCCAAAAAAGAAAAATTGGTGCCGGTCCCGGTGCCGGTCCCGGCGGGACCATGTTGCACATATCTAGTGATGACTCATAGAGTGTCTCGAAGAATGAGGGAAATTGAGAGATCAATGATTCAGAACGTTGATCAGAAGATTGTTTCTGAAGTTGACTGGATTAACATGGGAAGAAGTTATGCGGATTTTTTAAATGATGAGCAGAAAAAACGAAATTTTTTCAAGACTAGAAAGAATCACGCCTGAAAATATGTAAAATTAATTTTTTTCGATGAATATATTTATCGTATTTTCTAAAATAGAAAATCACAAACTACAGATAAATTAATCGATCGAATATCTTCATCACTTCAATATTATTTAAATAATATAACAAAAAATCAAGCATTCATTTTTGAGGTAAGATTATAAAATAGATTTTAATTTTATCATTTTTCATTGAATAAAAAAAAAAAAAAACCTAGAGTTGTGAATATTTACATATTAATCCATTAATTCGTCAACAATGTCTTGAAGCTTGTACAACTATTAATCATGATATTCAACTTTGGCTTCATACTTCACCAACAGTAGTGCTTATTACATGCAAAGATAAAATTGTATATATGCATACAAGGTTAAATTAAAATTTTTGCAAAGAAAAAAAATTTATTTAAAAAAAAAAAAAATTTTTAGTAATGAAGAAAATCGGCCAAGTAATAGTGATCTTTTTCTATTAGTACTTAATAATACAAGTCGATCATTACGTAATCAATTTAAATTACAACGAAATGATGCATCAAATAAAATGGCTCATGTATATAAAACGAAGATTGATAATAATCATCATAATTTAACAAATTCAACAGAAGATATTCATTTTGCACAAGCTCGACGAGTATATGAATTTTTATATTGTTATTTTTTAATAATATTTAAATTTTTATTTATAGACATATTCATTACCAACTTTTCCTCAATTAGAATCAATAAAAACAAATGATAATCAGCTTATTGAAGTTTTATTTATGAAAACATCAAGTAGAATTCTTGCACCATTCATTATGTATACCATACCATTAACAAATGAAATTTCTGCACTTATTCTTTTTCAAGTAAGTTAAGTCTATTGAATATTTTAACAATAGTATTTACAATCAATTTTTCAAAACTTGATAATATGTACTCTGTTAACGGTTAATCAACAATCAAAAAGCGATAGTTTTAATAACAAAGAAATATTTTTAATCGACATACTCTATTTCTGTCTACATCGTCCTAATTGTAAACATCTAGAACTGAAGTCTTTTATTCTTGACTTCAGGCATAATATCAGTAAATATGACCTGAACCTAGTTCGATAATTTTAGTTTTTTGAGTACTAGCTCTGGTCTCGAGAAAAAATTATTTAAGAATTTATTCGTATCACATCTAGAAAAACATTTCCTGAAATAAAATACGTCCCCACAATAGATGACTTCGGCTAAGGGCATAGTAAAATTCAAATTTCTGCATATCATTATTCAATGAATGATACAAACTAAAGAATACTGCTTCAAAAGTCCTGATTAAATGTCTATGATATATAACCGAAATTGGTTTTTACACATTCAATTGAAAGAATACAGCTCATATAAGAAATTCTTTTTAATATAATGAAAAGTATATATAAATAAAGTGTATATATTTGGGATCTGGTTGGATTAAGGAGTGTATGTGATCGAAAACAAGATTCTGACACAATGCTTCGGAAGATTACTTCGTTTCAATCAAGATTTCTATCAGTGTGAATTTTTATCTATGAAAATATTTTTTATCGATATTAAATCCAAATCCAAATAGTTAATTATTTCGAAATGAATAATACATAAAACATCAAAAAATATTTTATTTTCGAAGAAAATTTTTTATTTTTAAAATATGATTGAATCTACATAGATAAACTATTTGCATTCATTTTCTTGAATAATTAAGCAATAATTCAGAGAGAACACAGTTCAACTGTCGGACTCTGTTCGAATTAATATTATGGTCACGGATAGGTCTCTGTATGAGATTAAGAAAAACCTTAACAAATCTCATACCATGGCCTAATAGTCAACACTTGTACTTAGAGGTGTAAGCCGAAGGGTCAAACGGCAGCGGCTGTTTTAATGGCCCAATTTTTTTTCCATGGCGGCGCCTACTAGACTCTATGCTTTTCTACACCGGCGGCGGCGGCTTTAATTGTAAAAAATTTTTTCCATAGCGGAGGCGCATCGTAGTATTATCAAAAATTTTCGTTCGTAGCGGCGGCGCAACGGCTGAGCTAACTTTTTCATAGCGGCGGCGGCGGCCCAGCTGGATGGCTTACACCTCTACTTGTACTCATTTTACTTGACTTTTTTTCTTTTTACAAAGACCAAAATAGTTTCGAAAAAAGTAGTGTTGCTTTAAGATAAATCTAATAATCAGTCGAAAATTCGGAAAGTTAAAAAAGCAAAAACTCGAAGATTTTTTTAGAGCTATCCAACTCCTAATAAAAAAAGCAATTTATAAAATAAAATTTTGTATAATATGATTTATGTATTTTATTTCAATTCTTAGTGGAAGAGTAGCTTAGCTTGTTCACATGTATCTGAACTTATTCGTGAACTTGGTTTATCAATCAATCAATTACAATTTGCATATAGTCGTTTAAATAATCTTGTTAAACCTATAGAAAATCATACAGCAATTCGACGATATGTAAGAATTATATTATTCTAGAATTTTAAAAGAATATTTTATTTAGTTTGAAAGTAAAAAATTACCATTAAATATATTGTCGAATATATTACATGAAACAAAATCAATTTATAAATCTTTAGTAAAAAAAAAATCTCATATTATCAATGAAAATGATCAAAAGTAATTCGATATTTTGCTTTTGATTTCTAAAAAATTATATTTATTTTTCAATTAGAGGTCATCAAATTTTAAAAAATTTAACAAAAATGAATGATTATTCAATTGATATATTTCATCATTTATTTTTCAATTCAAATGAATATATTCCTTTGAATAATAATAATAATGATAATATTAACCAACAAACTAATTCACCAATTAATGAAGATAATATATTGGAATCATCACCAATGATACAAGTTCTTCGAAATAAATTATCAATAAAATTAGAAGATTGGTTTTCATTTATTGAAATCAAATCTCAACGAAATATTACGATGAGTTTGTACGTATTGTTTTTTCCTCAATATTTGAAATATTAAATTTATTTCGTTTTACTTTTATGCTTTTCAAACTATTATGACTTTCATATTTTTTATCCTTAAGAGTTTAAGTGTACGTAGGTGAGAGTGAACTCTAAAGTATTCTTAAAGCTTTAAAAAGCATATAAGCATAAAAGTAAAACGGGATAAAATTGATTTCTTGTGGATCTATAGAATATTTTAATTTAGTTGTCATAATGATTTTCCTGGTCTTGTACATTTTGCACTTATTGATCGTTTACGTGGACATATTTGTACACCTGCATTATATACTGATGATAATCAACATCATTTAATGACAAATAATAATATAAATGAAATGGAACAATTTTTAGAAAAAAAAGTTTGAAAATATTTTTTTAATAAAAATATTCTTATTTAAAAGATCTTGTTTTTTCTTTTCTTTTGTAGATAATAAATTTTGAATTAGATTGTCTTTCAGCACTTCAACGTGGTTGTACATCGTATACAATGACTGATGAACATTTTACATATAATTATACATTACGTTTACAAGAGAGTAATGTATGTAATTATATTTATTTGTTATAAAAGATAAATTCTTTTTCTTCTTCGCTTACTATCAACATGAAATTTCATCGTTTAGTCTATTATTTCAAGTTATCACGAGGAAATACGATTTAGCATATGCAAAAATCTTTTCCAATTGATTTTGTAAAGTGAAATAATATTTCTGAATATTGTATATCCTTTTGAGATTTTTAGAAATATTACTAAAGTATACAGTTTAAACGTTTCCTATTTCATACAATTTCAAGCATTTTTGTTGTTTGAAAGGAATGCCTATTTTCGGAACGGATCATTACGAAGAAGAAAAAAAAAGTCATTTTTCAATTTGTAAAAGTTGTTCAATCTATAACTTCTTCGTATGGAATTCGATTAACTTATGTTCAGAGTTCTGCGTCGATTCGGATTAGTAAATCTAATAAATTCTTTCCTACGCAAAACAGTTTAAAGAGTTCTTCTGTACTATTGATTTAGCGAGTACAATTACAACAACCATCGAATAAAATATAAGAAACGGTTATCCTCTTATTTCTGTATGAAACAATTTTAAAACTGATCTTTTTGAATAAATTTCTATTCTACATTAGAAATGAATGATGTCTGTAAATCCTATTTTCTTCTTTTTTATTTAAGGGTGCATCCATGCGAATTTACAAACCTTTTGTTAAATCTCAACCACCTGGTATTTTACATTATGATTTTTACAAGTTAGAAATTTCTTTAAAATTATGAATAAAAAATTCAAGTTTTCTTTTATAATTTTTTTTTTATCCTAGAGAATTGGCTTCGGAGAATTATTCTTCTATTGTTGACCAAGCATCACTCGTATGTCTTGAATTGATTTGTGTACATCTACGTATTGTACCATCGAGTATTGTTCGTGAACAATGCGAACAACTTTGGCCAAGACTAATGGAACTTGATGAGTAAACAAAAACAAATAAAATATGTAAAAGGATTATACTTCAATGATAGAAAACAATTTTATGTCATTTTTCTTTTTTACTTGCATTTGTAATTTTTTTTTTGTTTTATTCAACATCAAATTTTTATTTATATGAAACAACAATATGATGACTATTGGTAATATCGTTGTGTTAACTATATTGTTCATGTTTCTTATTCGTAAGTTATCTGCCAATTTGAATAATGATTAGAAAACTCATAGTAAGATCAATAATGTATTTTCAATCATTTATTCCTTCAATGAAAAAAATTTGACAATACTTTTTTAATAATGATAAAGAACTCTATGGACTTTGAATTAATTTTTTTCAGTATTAATATTTTATGTATACGAGAGAAATATCTTCGAAATCATATATTTTACTTTTACAGTTAAATGACTACATATCAGAGATACTGGTTAAACTGTTTCTTTTGCAATTCATAAGTCATACATAAGTCGAAAAGTTGTATTGAGTAGTTCGAATCTTACACTTTGGCTAATTATGATCTGGTGAGAATATGTCAGCAAAAGACATTGTAAACGAAGTTTTGAAATAAATTTCAATGACAGAGACATGACAAAGAAAGAAAAAACAACATGAAATTACCTATATGTAACTGCATGCACTTGATCATGTGACCACGCAGTAAATATCAAGATGCATTGATGAATCACATATACTATATTGTTATGATATCTTCTCTTGAGTAAGCTTTTCTGTAAGTATTTTCTTAGAAATATACTTAACTCGAGAGGTTAATCCCAAGTTCACCTATCGTTTATACGACAAAATCTCTCTTTACCTTTGGACGGTAGGTGAATTAGGATTGTGGGCATTTCAAATGACTTATGTAACCCATTGGGTTGGATTAGAGCTGATTCTTGAAAATACCAATCAATAGATACTTTCACTAACCCAATCCCATCAAACACCTCTTCTAAATACACCTTTACATAACACTCATGATGAGTATAAAATATTTGAAATATTTCATAGAAATCTCACCAATACAAACAATTGCTTGCTACACATGCATTGATTGTGGTGATCCATTTGATGTTCGAGCATCTAATGCCAGTCAAAGCCTGCCAGTGTGTGCATATTGTTATGTATGACAAAAAAAAACATTTCTGTATTTTTTTTTCTTTCTTAACTTGTTATTATTTATTATTATTATTAGAAATTAACTGTATATATGGCATATGCACCAACACGTTATGTAGTTAAAGAATGTGTTCAATCATGTAATGAATCAGGTTATTTATTTGGTGGTTCATCACTTCAAGTTAATTGTTGTACATCATCGTTTTGCAACAATGCATTAGGATTGTATACATTAAGAAATATATTCTTTATAATATCTACCTTATTTATATTATTTTTCACCGGCAACATCAAATAAATTTTTTTTTGTATGTATGAATAAAAAGAAACAAACAAGTTTAATAGACTTCTCGAAGCGTATATGAATGACATGTTTTGCTACTATTGATTAAAAGAGTTAGCAAAATAATTCAAAGATTAAGAAGAATGTTTTGAAACAAAATGAAGCATTTGGGAGCTATTCTAATTTTAGACACAATGATTAAATTATGACATGAAGGTATGGGTTTGAAAAACCACACCCACATCCAAGTAAAGAAAGTTTGTTAGAAAAAATATCATTAACATTAAGTTGAATCAATGACGAAGAATTAAACTTTGATGAAATCGAAAGATATTCTAGATAAAATATGAAATCAAATCGAATCTGTATGATTTAAGTACCAGTTGCTTGATGTAATTGCCAACGAGTGTTAATTCTGAAACTGTTAGAGATCGATATCATTTCGAGTGTGGGTTTGGACGAAGTGAAGAAAAAATACCCACACCCTCTCAGTTTACGATGTGAAAAATCACGCTCTTTATCATTATGTTATTTGTTCGAGACAACCAATCAGCAATATATATTCGATAACGAACGAGATGAAGTCGAATGAATCAGTGGCAGTCATGATCTGTCCCAAGTCATTGATTGAACTAGAAAGGACAAAAAATTCAATGCATACGAAGCAAGAGAAAAGTGCACATGTATTTCTTCAAGCATCTCGTGATAAAAAAATTGATTCAAATCAATTCGAAATTCTCCATTGAGTCGTCACATCAATCAATAACTTTCACTATTTCTGAAACATGATCTGAATTAATCATTGTAGTCTTGATTACCGAGTGTATTATTCTTGAGCGAATACTTCTGTCCTGCTTCAAATGTAATCTTCTAAACAAAGTTTAAACAATTGTTTTTTGTACCATAACTATGATGCATTTTCATGAATCTTGTTGAATAACATATAGTATCATATTACTCTAATAGAACAAGCTTCACACGGTCATTAATCGATCAACAACAATGGAACGATTTCGATTCGTGATCTATCGACGCGAAAAATATGTTATTGCTAATGTAAACAACTTGATTCGATTAAATTATCGAGCCGTTGATCAAACAGTGGCGCATATATAGAAATATTGTTGCGCTTTCCTTTTCATTATGTCCTTGAGACGTATGTTTGCATCTACACTTTTTGAATACGCACAATGCAGGAAATTCTTGTATGCGGCTCCTTCTCACTCGTTTGTCCCACATATTCGATTCTTTGCAACATTTTTCAGATCCCTACAAATACCTCAACTCAGAAGATCAGTGATTTTATCGCACTCGACGTTTTCATCCATCTGCAGAGGTAGATTTTCACATGTTCGATAGGTACATTTAGGTATATCAGTTGAAAACCCCACAAATGAATTGGCAAGAACATATGCGAAGGAAATCATTGGTGTCGTTTGATGACTATTCTATGTAACAGTTCAAATATATATATAACGTTCTACTGTAAAAACTTGATCGAACAATGATCGTCCAAGTTTACTAAGATCTTTGATGAATCCTAGATTTGGTTCGATTTGTTGTCGAACTGCTTGTATGTCGATAGGTAATTACCAACATAGTACTTCACGATAATGCCAATCGGCAATGAACTAATATACCATGATCAATTTTGAGATACCGCGGAATGAAAATGAAAACGGTTTCGCAAAAGCAGATGAACTCATTGTACAGGCTGAGCATTGATGCTCACATGAAGACAATCATATAATGCTGAATAAGCATTCAATTCGTTTAGTGTTACATCAACAAGGCCTCAGATATGAGTATCTTGAAAAAAGGATTAATCAAGAACGCTATTCACACTAGCGAGACACAAAGGTAGAGCTACTTGATTTGGTCGAGATGTAAATGAGTCCGTGGGTAAACAACCAGCATTCATGTGCATCATCCTCATAATATCAAGCAATGATTTAACGAGACAGTAGTAAAGTATTGATCAAAATCATCTTAGACGATCAATAGAAAACATGACTACTGTTTCTATCAGTCAAAGACACCAATGAGACGTTGCTGAATAATACTCAAACTCTATTACAAAAAGAATGTCTTGCATAACTCTTGCAAAATCACGAGTAAAGCATGTTGATACAGCCACCACGTGACTTCATTACTTATTATTTTGCTGTTCTGTTTTCTAGTGTCGGAGAGCTTTTTTCTTTCGCACTCGTTCTTCATGATTCAGAATACACAAAAAAACGAGAGTGAAGAACAGAAGAGCGCCTAAAAACGTATCTCTACCCAATTTATTACGAAATCTAGAGAATATTTGAACCAACATTTTATCACTAAGTATAGCTATTTCAATTATGCGTGTCTATTTTTAAGTTCTACGATGTGTTTTACTCGATGAATAGATTCTCAACAAATTAATAACAATTCACAATGTCGAAAAATATTTTTTATCATTGCATTACGAAATTTGGAAGGATAAATTTCATTATGCAGTCGAAACTATTAGTGATAGAGCTACTAGAGGGTTAGGAGACAAAGTCTTCTACCGAACTACTAAAACATCATTAAATGAAGAATTAAGTCCTCCTGAATGAGACTAAGTACTACCAACATCAAATTGTTGACTCTACTATCGTAAATCATCATTAGTGACCGATCTAGAGCATAATTTGATCATAGTGATCGAAATCAGAAAAAATCAACTATCCATAAAACTATTTATGTGAGAAAAAAACTTTTTCTAAGATTTGTTTGTTTAATTTTTTCATTGATGAGGAAAGTCTAATTATATGTTTAATAACCTTAGCACACGCCAATGGTGTAATGGTGAGCATATTTGTCTCATAAGCAGAAGGTTCAGGTTCGATTCCTGGTTGGCGTCATCTTCTTTTTCTTTTCAGTTACTCTATATTCATTGCATCATATTCTCTTTTCGTTTGAATGAGAATAAATCACCTAAATCAAATCTTTCGAATGCTGTATGATTCATCCGACACCCTCTACAATGACGACACTGTTTATAAATGATTCATACAAGAAAGTGAGTGAGCGATTATAGTTCTTATTTCTTGATCGATTTTGCCAAAAACAAATAAAAGCAAGTAAAACAAAGCATGAAATCATACACATTAATTCGTACGGCTGTCAACATCCTGCTATCTGCTACACGTGGAATCGAATCGCTATAAGTGATCCAGCAAGCGACGCACAGACCACCAAAACTACCAGCAGTTAGTAGAAAAGAACCATAAGAATGTGGATGTGACAGTGTTTGTCTTTTCTTCAATTACACTCACAGCCGCACTCACACTCACGTTCTATTCATGATTGGCTTCGATAATTTCGAACTATCTTGAGGACGCACAATATGCTAATACCATGGTTGTTTTCTTGGAAATTAATAATGTCTTTGAGAAATTTTCATAATAAAAATTGCAAAGTTCCATCAAAATCCTTCGAATGAATTTGATTTTTCATTTTTTGTTGTTAATTTTGATTCGAGCGAAGATATTATCAATATGCACCAACAGATATACACGAACTTTTCGCAATCAGATCTGCTCTCGAATATTTCTTTCTGCACGCTCGGATCGACCTTTGGTCATCCTCGCTACTGGCGTTTTTTTTCATCCGATTTTTCTGTCGATCACACTCTTTCTCTGATTCTTTGTGTCTTCGCTGTCGTTCTCTCTCTATCGGATTCATTTATTCAGACATCGTCAAATTCACTGAATAACTAAAAAACTGCTGACTTCAACGGCAAGGCACAAGATAAGGGTTATTATGAAGTTTATTGGCTTTATCAATCATGTTTGGCATTTTTGAAGAGCAATAGTTCAGTAAGATCGTTAGCTATAATTATTTCTAGTTAAATTCATCCGATGCAAGAAGTAGATATTCATTTAATAAAGCACATGATAGATTGCCAATACAGCGAATAATTATTTGAGCTCAACGTTTATTTTCAAAACTTGGACTGCCAAAAAAAGAATTGCAACAAGAATAACATTTGCTTTATGTTGCAAAGTCCAACCACCTGACTTACAAAATGCACGGAATGTAGTTGGTTGTCCTTCGGTTGGACAGGCTTCTGGAAACGTAGTTCGACATTTATCAGGACAAGTTTCATTGGTGCATGGTGACAAAAGAATGTCGATTGTTATGCAGAATGTAAAAGATTTAGTACAGCATCCACAAAAAGCATTTATCACCATTGGTACCTTGAATCAAGCTGACAAAGGCAATGGAAGCCAAGAATAACACGATCTTTGTAATGTTTATACCTATAAGAATTGATTATCGAGAATAGATCTACGAAGAATCATGAAAGAAACAACAAACTTGATCCTATCAAAAATGATTCTTCGGTGTCAACAAAAATGTGGATGTATTCAGATAGTGATACGTGGAGAGCTGATATCCAACCAGATAAAAAACTGAAAAAACGCGTGACAATACCATAGAAATATCGACTATTTTTGAATATTAATCAAGGTTCCTGGTTGTCATTAAAAAAGCTGTAGGGTGAAAACTATGATTTCCTACATGGGATAATATTTGTGGCAATTTATGCCTTATAAATTCTTAGTTATTTTCACATCTACTTACTATAAATGTTTCTGACTTAAAATCGAGCATCGGTATTAACATCCCAACATGTCTAGATTTTTTGTGCGTTTACACGCTTCTTTAATTTTTTTCTATTTTCATGCCTTTTCGGATATGTTTTTTCCAAGGAATCTTTTGATCATGTAGGCGATTCATATGACATTAATAATTGATATGCAGATAAACAGATCTGCTTCTTTATTCGTTAATTTACCTACCAACCTAACTAATTACCTATCTACACTCCTGACTAACCTACCAGAAATGAAGTCGGTTTGAGTTTTTGAAAAGTTCAACCGAGTGACAATTGTCTTAAAATGAACCGAACAAAAATTATGAAATTCTATTTAATATAATTAAAACTGTTTGTCTTTTACTATAACAATTGTCTTATCCCAGGCAAATGTTATCTA